AAAATGACAATATTTAAATTGTTATTTTTAGACAAAAAGGATCTTCAGAGGAGACTACTAAAACGTTTTGTCCGACTCAACAATTCACTTTTTCACTACAAAAAAAAACTGATAAGGTAATGTTGATATAAAGAGGTGTTGATTTAAGGAGGGTTACATTTCTGTGGAAATCCCGCAAGTGGCAATGAAAGGACCTTGAGGACCACGGCCTGAGGGGCAGGGGAGAAGGGCAGGGGGAGGGGTCTGCACGCTCTCGTTAGCAAGTAATCAGATTAGCCGTTTTCGTTTGATTTTAAATTGGACGCGCGACGTGGACGGACGACTTTATCAACTTTGTATATTTGTAGTATAATGTAATAAAAACAGATTTGATTTAATAGAAGCAAAGAATCCCGGACACGAGGAGAATGTAGTACATGAGATATTAAAATACCGTTTTTAAGAAATTAGTAAATAAATCTTAAAACGTTTAATTTATAGAGATATAGCCCAGTACAGTATGTTAGTTTATTTGTGTCATCGATTAATAGAAAATTTAGTAAGTTTATAAACTGCTTTCGAAATGTGGTGTTGGAGGCGAATGTTGCGTATTCCGTGGACTGCGAAACGAACAAATAAGCAGGCTATATTGGGACTTAATATCACGACTGCCCTGAGACAAGCCGAAGACAGGACGGCGTGGAGGCAACTGGTCGACACGGCCGTTGAAGCGTATCAGGACAAGCACGACCTTCAGTAATGAAGAATACGAAGAAGAAGAAGATAAACTGACCTACTGACGGATTAAGTAGAAGACTACTGTTAAACCTTAAACGTATTGAGGTATATTTCGTCAGTACAACTACCGCATAGGAAGCAATTGCAAGCAATCTGACTGTATCAAACATTAACAAACACTCGAGTAGCGGCGGATTCAATCAGCGATATATCAAATTGAATGATTATTATATTTTCCCTTTCTATTCAATCGTAAACTTTACAAAGTAATTCCAATAATTTACAATATAATTATATTAACAAATTTCAGTAATGTTAAACCTCATCATGATGTGAGTTTTTTTTTATATTTTTATTGGAAGAATACTTTAAATTTTCAGTTAAATAATCTTGTACGTGTTAAAAACTGCCAAATTATGAAATATTATAAATTAAAAAAATATTTGTCTGTCTTCGAAAGACAAGAGACACATAATTCATGTATTTATTTCAAAGTAACAGTTAGTCAGTCCTTGCATTCCATTAATTTCGCAAATCGAAAAGAAAATGAATGTCCATTTCTAAGTCAATGAAGATGCAATTTGTCTGAGCCGACTGCGGACTGATTACATCTGGACGTTCTCTTTTTCATAACTATAGCTGTTTCGTCATTGTTTCGTCAGCATTTCGTCATTCGTCATTGGCACGTGGCAGACGCATTCCGAACACTTCCTTCGCATCTTCGACCTTTCACAAAGTTAGAGATCTTAGCTTCACATCTTACGTTCACTTTTGAAATTTCAGTGTTAAGATTTTATATTACATCAAATACTAGATTCCAATTAAAACTGCAACTTAAATATTTAAAAATAAACTCATTATAAAAATATTTTCATTACTTTTGGTATCACATGTATTTCTTTAGTTGTAAAATTTCAAAACTAAACATCGGAACAACCCAACAAGGTTTAAACGGTGGTAGAGCCAGCAACAAGACCACACCGAAGACAATCGTGAAGTGGAAGCAATTCCGCGTTTCGTCGAATGTGTGTGTCAGAGGCCTAATTTTAGTCCCCTTTACCTTCCCACCCTTTTTATAATAAAAGGGGTAAGAAGGGGACTATATACTTTTTTTTGCCATTGTAAGCAACGCATATGCAAACGCTGGTATCTGGGCAGCGGCCAATTCGCTATTTTGGCGAAATTTATATGACCGTTGGCATGTTACACCATATAAAATAAAAACAATCAAAACGTATGAAAAACAACAATACGAACAGATTGAAAAAAAGACCTGATTCTCTTTATGAAAATATGCAAATTGCGTTGTTGGAACGATAACGGCGGACAAACATAACTGCCCTTGGGTGAATACGTCCGTCAGTCGAGTATCGATTTTACACGCACATAGAATAAACGACTGAATAAGGCTTCCACTACGCGACATATAATAGATATTTTCACACGATTCTAGTCTATAACCTACTATTCACAAGTATTAAATTCGCGTATACAAGTCACGTCAACGATAATTAAGTACAGGTATGTACAGCTGTTTGTTTGGCCTTGGTCAAGATTCATTTACGTTATAAAAAATAATGAATACGCCAGTTTTGTACAATTTGCAGGCAAGCGTGCGCAGTGGATTTACACAGATGCCCGACGCCATATTTAATGGGAATAGTGGAGACAGGAAACAATTGCATGCAAATGAGTTTTGGACGATTAGCGCTAGTTAGTACGCGACCTAAGTCGGAATCTTTGGTGTTAAGAGATAAGACTTCTCTTGATATGTATAAATCAGGCGAAGTGTTTCCCAGATCTTTTCAGACTTATACGTGTGTGTAATAAGCTATCTTAAAAATCATACAAATATTATAAATGCGAATGTTTAGATGGATGGATGGATAGATGGATGTTTGTTTGAAGGTATCTCCGGTATGGCTTCACGGATCTTGATGAAATTAAACAGCGATGTAGAATATAGCATGAAAAAACACATAGGCTACTAATTTAGTTTGCATTTATTTTCGCGCGGACGGAGTCGCGGGCGATAGCTAGTAGTATTATAACAAAGCGTTGATCACGTTGGAACAGGATACATACATAATGTCAGTGTAATGGTTTCATACTTTCACTCGACAGACAAAGATTTTACATAGAAAATTGTGCAACAAATTGCACATTGCTGTATCTGCGACGCTTCACATAACACGAGACGAATCCCTTACGTATTCCAATATCATAATATTTTTTTTATTACTATTCATTAAATTATTACTTAGGATAATTTATTGTTTCTTTAAAACACCTATTTAATACAGTTCCAGAAAAAATAATGAAACATTAACTTTTTTTTCGTAGGATTCTATTTACAAGAAGTGAAAATAAACCATCATTTCATTTCATTACATCGAACTTAAGTAAATATTGATTCTGCAAATATTATATAAAGTTTATCGAAATTGTTATGAGTCCTAGTAATTCCCTAGGCATTGTAATAGTTATTAAAAGATTGGTTAAAGCTGGACATTGCAATCTATGCCTCAACGAGACAGTCTCCCGCGGGAACAACGACTCTATTGATTACTAATACGTTTGTTATATCGGAGAAATATAATTTCATTATTTGTCTTGCTATCAAGAGAAATACAAGAAAAGTGACTGGTATATTTAAAAGTAATCAGATGTTTGTAAAAAGGAACGCTATATTAAGGTTTCTGAACCTATATTCTTCTATGATTTAATCTTACTAATATTATCAATGCGAATGTTTAGATGGATGGATGGATGTTTGAAGGTATCTCCAGAACAGCTGAACGGGTCTCGATGAAATTTGCCATACATATAGAACATAGTCTGAAAGAACACGCACGCTACTAATTTAGTTTTTTTTTTATATTTCTTAGCGGACGGTGTCGCAGGTAACAGCTAGTTTGGTAATTTTTTTTAAAAGATACAAAAAAGATAAAATCAGGGTGATTTTAGAATCTGTCCACGCCTTTGCGTTGACGTCATCGTATCAAATGTCACGAATCTGGTGTGGCCATAAACAAGACGGATCCCGCAGCCGTAGAGAATACTGATGCAGGAGCAAAGGAAGCGAAAGAAGGATTTGTTTTTATCATTTCGCACACGTTCAAACTTAACGGATTCACTTTACGTAAGTTTCGCAAAAAAAAAACAAGTTGCTTTTTTATTAAAAACAGCTGCTTCAAAAGGATATACATGGCCATTTTATATTTTTATTTTATAGTGCGATATAAATTTAATTTACTTCACATCTTCCCGACAGATAAATATTTAAATTGTCATTTATCAAACCAAATAGTGTAGAACTTATTAAATATAGTTACGATAACGCTATTAAAAACCCACTGAAATTAAAAAAAAATGTCTTGAGCATAATCTTACTAATATAATATAATATCTTACTTCTTACTAATATTATAAATGCCAAAGTTTTGATGGATGTTTATTTGAAGGTATCTCCAGACCGGCTGAAAAGATCTCGCTGAAGTTTGGCACAGATGTAGAATAATCTGGAATAACACAGGCTACTAATTAGTTTTTTTTTAAATTTCGCGCGGATGGAGTTGCAGGCGACACCTAGTTATAACATACAAACTTACAACAATGTCTAAAAAACGTACAATAAATCTCACTAAATTACTCTTATTACCTTTCCAAATGGATGCTATCCATAACAACTCAATAATTACAAAAGTATTGTGCAATCAATAGATAAAATCTACAGAGAACTTCTGTCTGTATGTCGGACGTACTCGAAACTTATTATTGGAGCAAAATGTTACGTAATTGTTAGGTTTATTACAAAACGGTTTTATCTGCAAGAGCCTTTCTCTACATCATGGATTCTGTAGACGTAAAGGCTTTGTTTCTTAGCATTATCTAATATAGCCCGTCACTTCAACTGCTTAATGCACTAGTTGCTAACCAATTTACATTTCTAGATTTAAACAAGACATTTGCGTAAGTACTAAGTATGATCTTAGTTATGACAACTTAACTATGGAATTAAATTAAACCTGGTTTATGTTATGTATAATTTGCTCGCAGGATATTATTTATACGACTTTGCTTTTAAGCGCTCGACGTTTATCTCATCTGTGATAAGAGAAACGCTTACTTGTTACAAATCGATACTAAACAGAATTACAAAACACAAGGCTAAACTACAGTTCTAGTAAAACGTAGAACAAAATAATATCCTTTGCGGTCTACAGTAACAATTTGTCTTTAAAAGTTCATCTTAAATTAATTAGTAACAGCAATATACTGACCTGAACAACAGCGTCCATGGCCATCCTCTCGATGTCGAGGTGGTAAAAGTTAAGCTGTGGCGCGGGGCGGCGGCGCGGTCTGATGTCGTCGTAGTAAGCCACCGCATCATTGATGGACACCACCGGGCAGTCATCGGCACATCCGCTGCCGCAACCGCTGCTGCCATCTACTCCGCTGTCCGAGTCCCCTTCCCCTTCTCCGTCGCCTTCTACGTCCACTTCTCCGGCACCGGAGTCCCGCCGCTCCCCGAAGCTAGTTTCCGACCCCTCTTGGTAGCCCGACTCCGTCATATCGTCAGCCACCATGTCCGAGTTCTTGATGTCGTAGTCGAACCCCTCATCCTCGATGCAGTCTGGCACGATGAGGTCGGCCATTTTGTTTGTGTCGTGTGTGCTCCGTGTACTATCCACTACATGCTGGTCCACGACGCGATATGTCACTGTGCCGCCCTGAGGACAATAAATTATATAAGTTGATAACATTGGGATACTTTCGTTACGTTCATCATGTACAATTAGATATGTTAAAAGATTTGTCAAATCTTATTTCTAATAGGATAAACCATTTTATTTTGAAAGTTATCGTTTTAATATTATAACAGCAGGAATATTTGTATTATAACGCATATTTATTTTCATATTATTATATATTCATATAAATAACATTAAGAGCTAAATAAGTAACTTCAATGCTTAATAAATAGGTCAAAAGTCACTTTTATTTTCGGCGGGCCGATTCTATCAGACTTTCACTCTCGAAACACTGACCTTCTACGAATTAATAAACATAAGGTTTTTTGTATGCGAAACATTTCTAACGTAGATATTTAATTGAGTGTAGCGGCTGTGAATAATAATCAGGAAGTCACGACACTATTTATTAAAGCAAATTCGATTTCATTCGATTTTCATTCATAATATAGTGAAGAAAATCAGTTATCACAAAACTTTATTAAAGGAAATGTACAGTGAGGTTAGCTGGCGACATTACATTTGCAGAGAGACAATTTTTGAACGTTTTAAACTGATTAAAGTCGGTAAATATTCTAAAATACATCAGAAGTACAGTGCAGGTAACCAACGTCACATAAGTATGTACTTTAGTACACTAGTAAGCGTAAGAAGTGCCAGAATTAGTTATAAAGTGCACCGCGCATGGAGGCGACTGTACCTCCCGAAAATACTTACTAAGCTTTGGTAGAGCCAGAAATCCCATACAAGATAAATATATGGACACTTAGTATATTTGTTTAGTATTTACACGTATTTATAAGTAACAAAATTAGACTAAAATTACTTGTGCTAACTAAAATTCTTCAATAATATACAGTCTGTCAGAGTTCGTGCTATGCCCGCCTCCTGTCAACTGATAAATACTTGAATACTGAGCACTGACAACTAACCTAGTTATGTCAATAAAAAACTTAACGCTATTCGCTTGAAACTACCAATTAAGTTAAATCATATAATTTTAAATTCATAAAAAATTTCCAGTTAAAGTAAATCGGAATGAATGAATAAGTTTGATAATTATTTTAATAAATAGTTAGACCTTTTTATTGATCAAATGAATATAAAAATACGAGAATTACACACAAAGTATTAAGTTACAAAGAGTTATAGAATTTACAATCAGATTTTCTTTGACGAATATCGCATCTCTTTAACGTTTCCTAATAAAGGCAAGAGCCGTGTAATACGTGTATGTATGTAAGAGTTATTTCAGTAACAACTTAATAGTGAAGGTTGACATTTAAATAGAATTACGTTATGATTGAAAGATGACGCAAAATGTTAAAATCGATGTTACGAAACCAACAATATACTTTACATTGGTTCGATACATCTCCGAGCTGTAATAAAACCTCATCATCATCTTCATCAGCTCACTATACGTCAACACCGAGGGTCTCGGAGCCTACCCTAAGTTAAGGGTGTTTAGTCAACCACGCTGGCCATGTGCAATGGTTGATTCCACACATATCTTTGAATTTCTTCTCAGATATGTGCAGGTTACACGGATAAATGTACATATGTAAATCGAAAATCGAAAAACACATTGCTACATTGCGGGATTCGAACCCATGACTTGCAGATTGGTAGTCAAGTGCTTGACCACTGAGCCACCGACGCTCTTCTATCGAATGAATACCTATCGAATCGAACCTATAAATACTTAATACATATTTATAATACTTTCGTAGCATATTTTTATATCTATTTTATTATGATTAGATAAATAACATACCAGCGCTTACAATGTGAAATAAATTTATGTACATGAAGTAAAAAGAAATATTTTTATATCGTAATCCATTTTACTACGTATATCTCGCATAAACAAAAGTGAATAAAAGTGAACATATGTAAAACTTCGTTTTAACGCTGCTATAAATAAAAGACATTTTGTCTAAAACTTCACTCTGTGTTTCTGAGATTAAAATCTGTGTATCAAACATATCGCCATCCTGTTATCATGACCAACAGAAATAACAATATGTTTTAAAAGGGGAATGGTCTAAGAAACCCACGATAATTTTGTTAGCGCTGAACTGAGCTTAGACTTACAAGTTTAAATAACACGATTTAATATTTAATAAAAACAAACGGCATTAAAAATTAAAATATTAGTAACCATGACCAATTAATCTTAGCGGAATTTAAATAGTTTACGGGGATTTCCACAGTTAATAAGGTTCGGTTACGCCATTATTCTATTGATAAAAATAAATAATAAAAATATTCATATTTGGAACACAAAGATAAAGGCCAATTATAAATCGATTAATCGAAATCATAGCACATCTTTCCCGCCATTTTCTAAATCCAAACTATCTACGCATACTTACGCGTAGATTCTTATCGTTTTATTACTAAAAAAATATATATGTTTATACTCTCAGACTGTAGACATTAGACGGCAAGTTACTTCTAGAAGTGGCTTCCAAGATTCCAAGATTTTCATTGCGTATTTACTTTATACTTAGCACCGGTTCTTAAGAGAAATGTGGGTCGTAGATCTTCCATTATGGTTACATTTATTATTAATATATTAAAATATTCTGTCACATTACATATGCATATCGAATGTTTATCCTAAAATGTGTGTCAAAAACATCGGCAGGGATTATTGTAATCTTCCATTACTCCTTCCTTTATATGTCAACGATTTTCCTTGTAGCGTTTATTTTGCAAATTAAGCTTCGCTAAAAGGTTTTTCTGGCTTTATATCAACTACTATGTGCTTATAATATATTTATTCTTTATATAGATATGTAATTTAATTCCTTTTACCATTTGTTAAAATAAAACGCGATTTTATGAATTTCAACTCATTTTATGTATAATAACAAAAATTTAATCTGAATTATACCAACATTTTATTAAACTGAAAAATGTAGTTTGAATACTTATTCATAAATTACTAGCTGTCGCCCGCGACTACGTCTGCCCGGAATTAAAAACTAATTTAATAAGTTTTCTATGTGTTCTTCCAGACTATGTTCTACATCCATGCCAAATATCAGCGTGATCCATGCAGCCGTTCCGGAGATACCTTCAAACAAACATCCATCCATCTAAACATTTGCATTTATAATATTAGTAAAAAGTAAGATCTTAATCTGAAAGCACAGAAAGAAAGTAATAAGATACATATAAATTTTTTCCTATCACAAATTTCCAGACAAAGTTAATGGCATTGAACAATCGAAGACGCTTTCAACTAAAACCACATATCGGGTTTGGGGAATATTCTCTCTCGCTTCAACGATCGTCTGTCTCCCTCGCACTTACAGCAACAGGTGGTTCTACTATCCCAGTAACCCAGATACTGTGTCAAGGACAGGCCGGGAGCAACAAGTCGCCTCCCCTTCCCTCCCCTCCCAATCCCTTCACAGCACTTGCCGCATAAACAATGTTTAATGACAAGGAAAAATAATCAACATTCTTAATGGCGTCTAAATGTCACATTGACAGTAAATTAGGCGGGAATAATTTGCAGAGTATGTTTATTCAATTATCATTTCCTTATTATTGGTATTTTAGAATTAATGTGATAAAATATAATCCAAAGTTATGAAGGAAAACTATATTTACATTGTTGCTAAAAGATGTATGCCATTAATTTTATATTACGTCAATCAAATTATTATTAAAAACAATATCAGCTTAAAATATTTAACGTGAATGTAATCAAAAACTAAATAAATTTAACAAGTAATTCCCGTTTTTTTTTTAATATCACAAGGTGGCAAACGAGCTAGCGGCCACCTGAAATCGCTGAAATCATCCTCTCATCCGGAAAGTCCACTTCCACTTCCCATCCTTTCCTTATAAGAAAAAGGATGGGAAGGGAAAGAGCACTAATTTTGGCCTCCGGGACGCACACTTATCAGACTGTACGCGGAATTGCTTCCACTTGACGCGTGTCTTCTGTGTGGTCGTGGTATTTCACCGGGCGAGCCGAGCCGATTCGTGCGAAGATGTTAAAGCGGGCTCTACCACTGTTAAAATCCCGTAATGAATTGCAAGAAAAAATAAAACTTGTCTGTGGTTCGTAAAATTGTAAAATTCATCAGGTAATACCGCCTAACGTCTGTCGAGTTTAGTTGTATGTATATGAAGAAATAGAAGCAGCATGGAACGTGTGCTAAGAAAAATATAATGCAAAAATGCAATTCGAAAGCTTTAGATCACGTCATGTAGGAGTAAGATTGCACAACCGCATCCAGCCACAAGGCTACAAGGTTGAACTTTAAGCGAAGGTTCCATTGGCTTAATGCCACGTCAGATGACACCGTCGGCATTTGATAAGCTCTATGCCGTATAATAAATGCGTGCACGCAATTTTAAATCTTTCTCTAAACGATTACGATAGTTTTTACGCGGTCTAGTAACTGGGTCGTAAAATAAATACGTGTTAATTTTCCTAAATCGTATATCATTCGTTCACATCAGTATTTTATATGCAGACAATTTCGCTTCAAAGTTATACAACACGTTGCGGGAACATAGATTTATAAAGAAAATAATTGGCTAAGTTTAAACAAATTCATTACCATTTAGGTAAATTAAAAATCTAAGTAAAATAACTAAAAAGCTTAAATTTGATAATAACGCCTTTTATTTATAGTAAGAGTCTGAATTTGAAAATGTCACATTTCGTCTAAAATTTTTCATCGAATCAATTATCTCTACGTAAGTAATAAATAGAAGAAAATAATATAATAAACTCATCTATTTACAATATTTTAATCTGTGATATGATCTTGTATTAAGCACCACTTTTCTGCAGTAAACTTATATAAATATTTCATATCAGAGGATGTTGAATAACGCGAGAGATTGCATTTGAAGAGTGCGCCGCGCCGCGCCATAATGAAAACGTCGCTTCGTTTCTGTTAAAGTTTTAACAAGATTACAGCTTGCCGCTGACGTATTCTATTGTC